TGGCCCGCGGGTCGGCGTCCTGCCGCAGCGGGGACAGGGACCTCTCGCTCCACGGAGGGGACATGGGGGGTCCCTCGTCCAGCTCGGGCACCGAGGCCGGGCTGGCCCAGCCATCCAGGCTGCCTGGGTGCCGCACCAGCCGGGGCGTCCAGGTAGGTGAGGCGGGGAGGGGCGGCCGCCTTTCCTGGAGGGGGACAGAGAGCGGGTTAGTGCCGGCACCGCTGGGGGGACGAAGAGGGCAGGATCGGAGCCGGGGAAAGCTCCGTGCAGGCTCAGCACTGGAGGGACTGGGGATACGTCTTTGTGCTCCCGCAAAAACGCATTTGGCTCTGCACTCCCTTGCCAGCCAAGGAGGTCGGGGCAGGCTGAGCCTGCAATTAATCATCCTTGCCCAAAATATGACCCAGGACCTCTCGCTACTTGCAGCTTCCTAAAGCCTCCCCCTGGGGTGATGCCACAGAGACCCCCCTGCGCTGCCCCGGGGGGCCATCGCCCCACAGCTGCCCCCGCGCTGGCAGGAAAGAGAAGAGACAGGTCTGACAGCGCAGAGAGTGTATTCAGAAAGAAGGGGGGGGGAAGGGCAGGAGAAATAAAAGCATAGTCAAAAGGCAACTCGTTACCACGGGGAGAGCGGCCGAGGGACGGGCGTAGGCCCGGCTGGTCCACGGGCTTCAGGCTGAGCATCCCTCCGCTGGCCCGGCCCTCGCCTGCCATCCTCCAGCGGGTGCATCCCTCGCTCCCGGCCGTGCCACGCAGCACTGCCATCCCCAGCTCCAGCACCAAGCGTGGGGAGGGACAGGGACCCCACAGCGTCCCCGGCACCGTGAGGCTCTGCCATTCCTCCAGGGATGCGGCTCTCCTCCGAGGCACGGAAGAAAACGAGGACAGATCCTGAAGGAGCAGCAAAAGAGACAGGAGCAGGCACAGTGAGGCAGAAAGACGGTGTGTCCCCTCCGGGTTTGCTTTGGTAGGAGGCTGAGAGGAGCCGGCAGGACAGAAGGGCTGTGGGGGAGCAGGCAGAGCCGGCAGCTGCCAGCTATGAGAGCTGGAAAGGCAGGAGGTGAGGAGAGGACGGAGCCAAAGATGCGATGCTCCATACAGTTTCCAGGTGAGAGAAGAGAGAAAGTGCCAGTGGTCCCGCAGGACGGGCAGGCTCCTGACGGCTCTTGGGGATCCCACGGGCTCTACGCCCCCGACTCCTGCCACCTCCCCAGGACACCTCGGCTTCCATTACACCAGGGGCTCAGCAGTGCCAGTCTCACCCCCAGTCCCGGCACCGCAGCATCCCAACTACTTCTTTTTTTTCTATTTTCTTTTCTTCCCCCCACCCCCCTTTTTGTAGTTCATTCGGCTTTTGGCACACCAGCGAGCAGTGAGGGAGGACTGGCCGGTGGAGGGAAGCCTAAAACCCCCGTGTTTTTCTCTCCACCACCACTACTTGTAGTAAAAAGAAGGTTTCCACACCTGCGGCTCGATGCCGGCACTCCTGGTGGAGTATG